TCTTCTTTGTCAACCCACTCCCACAAAAATGTTTATCTTATTTAAATATTACGGGCCTGCTTTTCCTCTCAATTATACCCTCTCAGTTCCATTTAACTCACTGGAGTTGTACTGGGACAAGGGCACTATGAAGAGAATCTGGCCCTATATTGCTAGTATGCAGAAGGCTCTCTGAAGAGAGAGAGGCCGTAATTTTAAAGCATAACCAGGGCTAGCCCTGCATATGGAGCTCTGAACAGACATATTAAGGGGGCATATTCTAGCAACTGTGAACCTTAAGGCTATTACTTAGTTTCCTAACACCTAGTGCCAGTTTTGTATTTCAGTTATATTCCTAAAGCAAGGCTAGCTTATGTAAGGGGCAGGAGAAGTTGTAAGGGTATTGTATGGAGCCTGGAAGCCTTGGTAGTGTCATCTGACATACAAAGTTTAAGGCAAATAATTTTATCTGATGGGCAAATAAAATGCCATTTGCTTTTTCATCATCATGCTAAGGGTGGGCGATTAGATTTTGTGTTTAGGCTGGAAATTTTTTATGACAGTTTCATACAGTCCAATACTTCACCTCCAGATCAGGCAGAAGGAGGATAAGAAACCCACCTGGACTGAAAGAACCAGGAATAGCAGGCAGAAGATGGAAAATTGCTGTCCGCTTTACGAGTCTGCCCTCGGCAAAAACCCTCTTAAAAATGACTAAGCACTGGTTAAACCTCCATCTCCATGCACATCAATACGCCCCCGCCCAAACGAGTTCTAATCAGAGAGAGACGAATAAGGGCAGATGGAAAGACAATGGACAACTACTCCCTAGTGGCAAAGCGGGCTATTAACTCAAAATTGTTCTATGTACGGTGAGCAGATTGTTCCTGTTTATAATTTACTCTTCTTCTGGGATCCTGTTAATATCTCTTTACTGTCACTGAGATAGCTTTAGTAAAGCTAGGGCTCCGATGGCTGTAGGGTTGGATGGGTGCCCAAAGTAACTCTCAAGCTCTTCCTTTATTCATCACATTGAAGGGTATTTGTAAATGATGCAGGAATAAGAACCTATGATCATAAAAGTGCATGAGAAAATTACTGTCCAATATTGCTACAGTGTAAGTGAGCTATGTGCAGACTCCATACAGCATGCACACTACTATGGTAGGGTGCAAGCTTCGTTTTGTGCATGTTTGCTTTACATCACTCTTCACTTTCATCAGGGATTTCACTCACTGCTGTTTAGAATAATGATGGGTTATATTCTGAATCCTAGGATATGAGCAGCATAGAAAGCCTTGTAGCTCAGCTAATGCAAAGCACAGCATCCAGAGTACCTGATACTAGTATTGCATATATGGAAGGTGAAGTGGCTAAAGAAAGCATGGATGTGATATAAGATACTAAGCCATTTGTTACAAAACGGAGGCTTGGAGGTAAGTGGGAAGGGCGAAGTCACGAGGAGACAACCATTTAGCCCAGAGAAATGGCATTTTAAATTTCCACTGGAAACAGAGCATGAGCAAAATGCAAACCCCATTCAGCAGGGAAGGCAACAGTAGAGAGGCAGAGAAAGGAAATTTTGGCAAGGACACCAATGCAAATTCCTCCTCTTACAAAGAGGGCCATGAAATTTTTAAAAGTGGTAGACGTGTTAGTCTGTATCAGCAAAAACAACGAGGAGTCCTTGTGGTACCTTAGAGATTAACAAATTTATTTGGGCATAAGCTTTCGTGGGCTAAAACCCACTTCATAGATGCAACTGATGAAGTGGGTTTTAGCCCACAAAAGCTTATGCCCAAATAAATTTGTTAGTCTCTAAGGTGCCACAACGACTCCTCTTTTCTTTGATGAAATTTTTAATATCCACAAAGAACATGGATAAAGTCCTTTTAAAAATCAAACACACATGTGAACTTGTACATGGGCTAGATTAAGGCAGCCTAGCCCCTAGGAATACCCTTATATGGAGGCCTTGACAGTCCTGTCACTCTTTAACTGGGGTGGTAGTGGAAAGGGCCACCCATACAATAGCTGAGACCTCTCTTCACCACCACTACTCTTTGGACAAGCTGAGGCCTCTCCTACTCCCTGGGCCACCACATAAGAACGGCCATATTGGGTCACACCAATGGTCCATCTAGCCCAGTATCCTGTCTTCTGACACCAGCTGGTGCTGACACTCCAGAGGGAATGAACAGAACAGACAATTATCAAGTGATCCATCTCCTGTCGTCCAGTCCCAGTGTCTGGCAGTCAGAGGCTTAGGGACACCCAGGGCATGGGTTTGCATCCCTGACCATCTTGACAACCATTGATGGACCTATCCGTCACGAACTTATCTAATTCTTTTTTTAACCCAGTTATTCTTGTGGCTCTGCTTCAGTGGTCTAGGTGGCCTTTGATGCTGCTTCTTCTCCCTCTGCTGGAGTAGACAGACTCATGGCCAGCTGCCTCAATCTATGCACAAGGTCTCATTTACTCCATGGCACACTGGACCTAAAATCTGCTTCAGGGTCCCTTGACTCTGTAGCAGCTTCAGATGTGTTGAAAGAATTGAGGTTTTTATTAACCAGACAATAATCAGCACAGTAACCCCTGGGCTATTCTGATATTAAAGTCAATTCTACACTTTTTCCACATTTTCAGTGCACCACAGTGCAGCCATAGTTTTTTTGGGTTATTAACACCGTTGAGAAAGAATGTGAACACTGCATGGAATGGTCTAATAACAACTGGCACAACATTACTTGCCCTGGGCTCCAGGCAATCCAAGCTGGTGCAAGAATTAGAATAGCAATTCATAGTGTTATTTTTAACTATACTCCCCTCTTTAGAGAAGCGTTGTTGCCTCTCCTGATCTCTCTCTTACATTAAGCTGCATTCCAAAATTGTTATCAACACCTTTGTCAACAAGATGCAGTGGGCTTTCAGCGATGGTGAAGAGAATGTCATAAATGAATGAATAAGAACAGCAACAATTGGCACCGAAGCGTTAAGCAACAATTGGCACCGAAGTGTTAGTTACAACAGATCCAGTCAGACAGAAGCTCAGCATAAACACACTAATCAGTACCAGTGAGTACACCAGTGCATCTCCATGGAGGCAGCAACGCGTCACTGGGTTCTAACAACTTAACACCGTTTGTTACCTACTGGCTACAATCTTGAAATGACACTAAACCATCTGCAGCCAGACCAAAAGTCCCACATTAATAGAACATGAAGACCTGCTTTACCTCTATCATCCCATTACCTTAAGCTGTTCATTCTTACCATACTCCCCAATTCAGCCCATCCACAGAGTCAATTGTTCATTTAGGATCCTACATATGTAGAATGCTACAAGTCTTTTGAAGACTATTAGCATACATGTAACACTTTCCTGAGTGTCAATGAACTGGCAGTCTGTAAAATACCAATATCCTTAAAGGCATAGGAATGCCAAGTGCCCCATACAGAATTAAACCAGACACCCCGTATGCAGAACAAAATGGAGCCATGGGGGGGAAAAGAAAGGGAAGGCAAGAAGAGGAAGACTTAGAACAAGCCATATCAGCCTGCACTAACTAGGGCTGTCTAAAATAAAGAACATTAAATCGAGAAAACAGGACTTTCTAAGGGTTGCATCTGACATTGTCCAGATGTTTCCCCATTTCCTAGATTCTGCCCTGCAGGTGGGTCTGCGCAAAAGAATGCTGTAATCAGAAAAACAAGAAGCACAACATACCAAAAAAAAGTTATAAGGCAATCCAAAACAGGTCCTAAAAAGACACAATGTAATTGGAGTTCAGTAGTTCGGGCACCCAAGCGAAACCCACACAGAAAGCAAAAATTTGCAGGCCGATTACAATTTTTGGACATTTATTTGGATAGTAAGAATATTCAGAGTTGTGATAGTAAGGATTAAAGAAATAACTAAGTTTTGGAAAGGTTATAAACCCTCACGTTTTGGGACATAAGACCACTTCTAACTAATGGGGGGTAGTAAGAAACTTTCCTTGTTAGGGCAATGACTTGGTTATTTCATAATTGCTTTCTGAAGTTTCTTGTACCTTTCTCTGGCCACTGTTGAAAACATGATAATGGACCAACCCCTACATTCAACAATTCACTTCCCCCCTTCTTTCTAATTCTTGGATTTAATATTTCAGCATGCATGTATTTTCTCATTTTAAGAAGGTAAACATATTTAATTTAGGACTGAATAAGAGTTACATAATGTAATAGTAACCACAGTGGTCAGCATCCACTGATTCTCATTGTACTTGTTCACCTCTGTAACATGAGATTGAAGGAGATTGGGCCCCTTCAGTTTACTTTATCCCACAACAAAGTGAGAAGTTCTTCTGCAACAATGGCCACAAGCCAAGCATAAACTCAAGTTTTCCTGCTCCAAAAGCACAAGCCCCTACTCAACCAAAGCTAAAAGGAGAATCTCTGTGAAAAGTATAGTGTTTATGACATTCAGTCTAGCAGGTCTGATCCTTCTTGTAAAGGGTGGTGGTGCACACATTCATATTCTTTAAAACTGCTTTATAGTTAGGTAGTTTTACATTGCAATGGATTGGGTAAGGCCAGGAACGACAGCTTCTTTTACGGTCACTGAGCTTTAATAAATTTTTGCCCTGCCTGGATTGCTACAGAAACAAAATTATATTATATTAAAACTGGTTCCAAAACAAATACTAAGACAAATCCAGGTATACCTGGAGCTAACGGGAGCTGCCGGTGTTAAGGATCCCTGAATATCAAGCCATGTATTTAGAGAGCTTAACTATGGTGTTAGCTGCCTGACTTTAGGAACCTAAGTTTGAATATTCTGACAGAAGAGTCTTGCCTAAGACTGTGGAGGGAGTCAGAGGCACAACTAGGACTAGACTTCTAGTGTTCCTGGATTTCAGTCCCACGATCAGTCCATTGGACTATGCTGCTTCTCACAATCTTTAGTCTAAAGACATATTGCTTTTCAAATGGAATTTCAGACATTACAGATGAGCAGAAAAATGAAGTACTCTTACCTGGGTTCCTCATCGTTGCTCTGCAGGAAAAACAAAAACAAAAGCAGTGTTGGGTTCAGCACTTTGAAAACTGTTTTTTCAGATACAAGCAAACATTTTTGTAAGCTATTTACTATTGCACAGGCACATTCAGGGCTGGCTGTCTTTAAAGGCAGGAATGTGTTTATACTCCAACAGCTGAGGTCATCATGATCACATTTAAAAGTCACAGGCTTGGCTTCACCAGCGATCAAGAGGGATAGGTCATTGTTTATTATAAAGCCTACGTAGCCCAATATCTTGCAGCAGTACGCAATCACATCAACTTCCAATACAGTTGAAATATTTTCACATCCTTTAGGCCTCATTTTCCTCCCACTTGCACCAAAGGAGAATCAGGCTCAATGCAATCCCTTTGTGATAACACCATCCTGTTACCTGCTACGCAGACAGGTTGATCAGATATCCAGTATGTGTGGAAGCAGACGGTGTGTAAATGCACAAGGGCCTAATATTACCTAGCATCTGATAGTCTACATTTATATATACATAGGGGAGTTTAAATAGTAACTGCATATAAAGCAAAACATGCTGGGCTTGATTTGCAGTTCACATACACTGGTAAATAAGAAATAGCTCCACTGAAGTCAATGAAAGTACACAGATGTAAAACTGGTGCGAGAAGGAGTCAGTCAGTCTTCATTAAAGCTATTCATTCAGTACAGAGCAGTAAAACCATTTACATCAGATGCTAATACAGCATGAGCACTGCAATTACATCAGTCACAAATTCCATGCAAATTGCAGTATTTCCACAATAGGGATATACAAACAACACTCCCATTCCACTGCCTTCCCCTAGGGAAAAGCAAAAGAAAAGAGCTATGTTAAGCAAGCTTTGATTTCTGATTGCTTGGACAGTCTGATATGGAATATTATATAAACCAGAGTAGTCATGCAATTTCATGATTTTCATAACTAGGCAACTACATATCTACAGCATACCTCAACACATCTTTAAATACTTAAATCATTTGCCTTATAGAACACCTGACGGACAAAAACTTGACATTACCTTAGATAATTATAAAGGAGAAAATTATCTGTAAGCAAAGCTAAGGACATATGCACAAGCGGCAATTGTGTGGACTGTCATCTGCCCCAAGTCAAGTCATTATTCTGCATCCCATCAGAAATGTTTCCACATCAACCATCCACCATAGCAAAGAATCATGGTCACATTTGGTTGCTCACCCCAGTATCTTTCACCTGCGTATCTGAGGTCAGTAACCAACCGCCCATCTGCTGAAGCAGACTTTGGTTTGTTCTTGCTGCACCCAAGATTGACATGTACTAATCAGCCTTCCAACCACAGACAGAGAAAAGTTTAAGGGCCATGGTCAGGCTAAAAGCACAGTCAGGCTTTTAAAAAGTATGTTTTTTTCCCTAGGTTACTAATCTAACCTTAGACTAAGAATTCCAAACAGTTTGATTTACTTTTCTTGTTACTTATTGATGCTATTTCTCTAGTTCCTTTCATTTCTCTCAGCTTGGACCTTCACTTCTGTTTATAGTCAGGTCTAATTCTGCTCTCCAGATTTACTTCAGTGTAAGTGACATCACAATTGGGTTTCTAATCAATTTCACTTTTAGGTTTTCAGGTACCAACACTAGGCTGCAAGTTCCACAGGGCCAGGCTTATTCATTTAGAGAAAACACCCTATTTCCTCCCCCACACCAACTTTCCACTGGAATTTTGAAAATTCTACAAAACCATATTTATTTACAAAAGAATAATGAGGAGTTGACTGTTCACTTTGAATTCTACAACTAAGCACAGAGACTCCAGACACAAATTAATTCACAACCCTACCAGAAGTCATGCTGTTCCATCACTGAATCCAAATTTCAGTTTCCGGCACACAGTGGGACAACTCAACCTCAGGTGTAACGGCACTGAAGTTAAAGGATTCCAAACACGGATTGATTTGCTCCATCGTTTCTAAAGTAGGGGGTTAAATTCTGCCCTTGGTCAGGCAGTTGACTCCACTAGGGTTGTACAATTGTAACCAAGAACAGAATTTGGTTTTTTAGACTTGATTCAATCACTGCCTTGCACTTGATGTAGTCATATACAATTATACCAAGGAATGCAAAGCAGGTACAAGATTACCAAAGCAGATCAGTAGCACTCTTACATCTACTTTGCAATCACTGTGCTTGGGGCAAAGATGGGCTTCAAGCTTTCTTTGAGTTCCCTGTGTTCTGGGCTTGGCAGAGCTCTGTCTGGCCCTCAGAAAAACTACACTAGCCTCAGGGTTACTCTAACCTTTCTAATGTGCACTCTGTTTCCCCTGGCTCCCAGGAAGGAGAGAATAGCCAGAAAAGAACTTGCTCCAGCCACATTTCCCAGTTCAATTTCCCAGCTGGGTCTGCCTGCTATTGCAGTGCTATAGCAGGCTGGGAGCCCCCCCTAAATCCCAGCATTATTTAGCAGTCTTGTTATGTTGTAAGAGCAGTGTAAAGGGGCCGTAGTGTAACTGAGAATTGGACCCACTTTGCACAGTTGGAATGCACAAAGTTCAAGCCAGTGGTGACTCAAATTCAAGACAGTGATCTGTAAACGGGGACTGGTAGCAAAGCAATTATTTATATTGCAGTAATGCTCCAGTTATGTACCAGGACCCCATTGTGCTAGGTGGAGATTCTTCAAAGCTTGGTTCAGAGGAAGCATCAGAGGTGAAACCAAGACACCTTAACAGTTAGACTCATACAAAATTCTGATTTTAAGACCTTCACTTTAAGTGCACAACCTCTTGGTACCAGTGTCAAAATGGCTAGTGTCACGATTTAGCAACACTCTTCTCTCACTGCTGGAGAAAAAAAAATCTCTTCATGGTACCACTGCTGTAGGCACTTCGGTGGCAGTTCACTGAATAATGTGAAAGCAGCTGCAAAATAGCAACTGAACACAGATTCTAGTGCAGGGATTCCCAAACTCGGTTCACGGCTTGTTCAGGGTAAGCCTATGGCGGGCCCCGAGACGCTTTGTTTACCTGAGTGTCCGCAGGTACGGCCGCTTGCACTCCCAGTGGCCGCGGTTCACCGTTCCTGGCCAATGGGAGCTGCAGGAAGCGATGGCCCGGCCCGCGCTGCTTCCCGCAGCTCCCATTGGCCGGGAACAGCAAACCGCAGCCACTGGGAGCTGTGAGTGGCCGTACCTGCGGACGCTCAGGTAAACAAAGTGTCTTGGGGCCCGCCAGGGGCTTACCCTGAACAAGCCACGAACCGTGTTTGGGAATCCCTGCACTAGTGGTACCAACAGCGAAAGATTGCTGATTCAACTCAGCTATCAGAGTGTCTTCAGTTCCCTTTACATTACAGGTGCAATTGCATCAAAAGATATCGAGCAGAATTAATTTGTTCCTAGAGCATCACAAAAAGTTCAAGTTTTAGTTCTTGACCTACTGGGATTCTTTCCAACCTGAGTTTCTTAAATTCATCCCTGCTGTAACTCCAGGGAAGTAGCTACAGTTTCACCAGGGCTGAATTTCAACCACTGTCTATGAAGAGGATTAAAAGAAAACTTATGTGAATTAAAACCATACATCTTTAAACTGCAAACCTGTATTCCCATATGTGGGCCTTATAAAGGTATTCAACATTAGATTACAAACTCTTTGGGGCAGGGACTCTCTCTTACTAAGCATACAGTGCCTCCCACAAAGGGGTTCTGATCTTGGTTGGGGCCTTTGGTCGATACTGTAACAAAAGCAACATAATTCCACATTGATGTACACACCTACCTAGGAGCCCACATGTGAAGAATGGGCTTCCCTTAGCAGGCATATATCAAGTTACCATATCATTATATAGTCTAAACAGTTACAGGAATTTCATTCACCATGTAATGAATACTTCAAAAAAGCTAGTGTTTTCTGAAGCTTTTACGGTGCTGAAGACAGAGGAAGCATAAATTGATGGGTAAAGTGATAGACAAGGGAGAGGCAAATTGGTTTGGGGAAAAACAAAAGCAAACAAAAAACCCACTACAGGCTTTTAGAACTGAAGCTGTACACATTTGAAGTGTTTGAATATGCTTCCCCTTTCCCAACCATAATCCCCCCTGCCCTGCCCCAGTCCCCATCTTTGCACTTCGGGATTCAAATGAGGACTAGAAGCAGAAATGCCAGTTATTTTTTTAGTTAGGTGTGCACACGCAAGGAGTTTGGCTATAGATGAATTTTGGGTGGCTGTTTATCCAATCCCAAACTCAGAACCCAGGTAGGGGGAGAAGAGTGCTGATCAGACACAGATGCTGTGAGATCTACATGTAGTTTAAGAACCAAGGATGGAATATCACTGTCCTAGGTGTTTCATTTTCCCAGGAACGCACATGCACTATTATATCTACAACAGTCCTGCCCTGCAAAAAATGGGTATCCTGGGTGGAGTGGTGAGGGTGAGGGCAGGCTGGCTGGCTATTATAACCCTGAAGCTCATCACTTGTTAGCCATCTTACAAGAATGTTAAAGCATTCTCTAGATGTTTTATGAAGCAATAGCACACTTCAAAAATTACAACAGCAGTATACTAGAAATCCACTATTAAGTGGTTACAGGCATTTGGCTTTGTGCCCCTTTAACCACTTAAAGAATGTGGGTATTCAATATGACCGCACAACTCATCCTGCACTATTACATGCATCTTGGCTTATCACGTCAAACATTTAGTGGCATTTGTGGGCATCTTTAATGTTGACTATGCAACAGGGGAGACTTCTTTCCTGCATCCATCACAATGTTGTGTTGCCTCCTGCCATAATCATTTTATCTGCTCTTAGTTTTTACCTCAGGCTTGAGCAGGGCTAACTCATTGAAGGTGTTCAGCTGCCTTCTGATCTCTGCCATCTCAGTCATCAGCTTTGCCATGTGGACGTTGATTTCCGCCAGCACCTCTGTCACATGAGCAGTGGCCACCGCTTCCTGGAGGTCCACTAGGTGGAGAGCTTTCCGTTCCTCCTCACAGACCAGCCGCCGTACAGTGTCAAACTCCTGCTGAACACACAGTTTCATCTCACTCCGAGTCACCTGCAGATCACACACATGGGAGAGAACGTTGCTTGTTAGAGAACAGCTTTATAGTGCAAGTGTCTGAGCTATCACCCCTTCAGTGATTGTTTGGAAGCAGGCAAAGCACTGAACTGGTCCCTGCTCTCCAGGCATCTGAGAATCTCTTCTCCATTGCTGCACCTGTTTGTCCCAAAACAAAAGTCTATTACAAAATATTTCCAGAAGAGCCCCATTCCTTCAAATTAGGAGTCATCGTTCTCCTCCTTCAAGTGAATCTCTGATCGCCATCTGTACATGGAGTTCGTTCCCCACATAGAAAGGATGACAGCTAGGCTATTTTTGTTGTCACTCCAGCAGCAGCGTAAGTCTCCCTCACATTTCTGTACAGCCTTCAATACCCCTAACTCTCACGTTGCTCCCAAGTCTACGCTTCCAGCCTGGCGGCATGAAATGTAGAGGTCTGGCTCTATATTTAAACAGGAGATTCTGCGCAGCAAAGAGTCCTGCATTAATCCCTGTAAGCTAAATGACGGATGGATTCAGAGGTGTGGTGAGTCAAAGCTAAACATACTTAATAAACCTGACAAGATCAATTACCTGATAGGAAGTGGGACATTATCTCATTTACCAAAGATTAGGATAAAGCAGTTAAAATAATTTTACTTTATTGAAATTACTTTAACTTGGAAGGTCTCAAAATTGGCATAAGACAGACTTGAGATAAACAAAGGTTTGCTACTGCAGCAAGGTGAAGGACCCAACAGTTAACAACAAAACTATCTGCCCACGTCAGTACACTTCACAGCACTTTGTCTGAGGGTTTATCCACACTACGGGCCGGATTGACAGGCAGCGATCGATCCAGCGGGGGTCGAGTTATCGTGTCTAGTATAGACACGATAAATCGACCGCTCATCGCTCTAGCGTCGACTCCGGTACTCCACCTCAACGAGAAGTGCAAGGGGAATCGACACACCACAGTGAAGACACCGCGGTAGAGTAGATCTAAGTACGTCGACTTCAGCTATGTTCTTAACGTAGCTGAAGTTGCGTAACTTAGATCAATCCTCTCCACCCCCCCGTAGTGTAGACCAGCCCTTAGGCTTGGTCTGTTTTACAGACTTACGCTGGTACAACTATGTTGCTCAGGGGTGTGGAAAGTCCATATCCCTGAGTGATGCAGTTACACCAGGTATAGACAGGGCTAGGTCGATGGGAGAGCTTTTCCCGCTGACATAGCTACTGCCTCTCAGGGAGAAGCTCTCCTGTCGGCGTAGGTAGTCTCTTCACTAAGGCTATGTCTACACTACCACTTATGTCAGCAAAACTTATGTCGCTTAGGGATATGAATATTCTACTTCCCTAAGCGACATAAATTATGCCGGCATAAGAAGTAGTATGCACAGCACTATGTTGCTGGAAAGCTTCTCCTGCCGACATTGCCACTGCCACTCATTGGGGGTAGTTTTAGGTCTACAGGAGAACGCTCTCCCATCAGCACAGAGCAACTACAAGAGAGATCTTACAGCGACGCAACTGCATCAGTACATCTGCACCAAAGTAAGCTCTCTAGTGTAGACATAGCCTAAGTGCTACAGTGGTGCAGCAGCATCACTGCAGCGTTGGATGTGCAAATAAGCCCTTAGTTGCGCAAGTGGTACTGGATGAACATGTCAGTTTTGTTCACTGGACTCTTCAAAGAAGATGTAGAGAAGATACATTGCACATAGTTTTCCCTGTAGTTCCTCTAAGATATGGATATCAAAGAAGGGCCACACCAATTAAGTAAAGAAATTGGAACTAGATCATTCACTGCCACAGTATCCTTCTGTTTATGAACTTCAAGTAATTTTCTCTCTCTACTATAATTATCAGCCTGGCAAAGGAAGTCCTGCAAATATACAATCCTGGCATTAGATTTACTGTTCTTCCTTTGCCATGATGATTATTGATTAATAGACTAATGATTTTATTTACTAATTTTTTTTAAAAAGTCATTTGCTCACCCTGGAAGTGCACAATTTTGCAAGACTAGTATTTATACAGATAATTAGCTCTGAAGAAAGGTCCCTGACTGACAGCCCTGGAGGTTGAAGTCCTCTTTTTATCCACAGACCAGATACAGCCCAGGCAGTGGCAGTCTACAGGTATGTCTTCACTACCAACGTTAAAGCACCCCCATGAGGGGAGTAGCTACCAGCGCTGGGAGCGCAGCTCCCAACGCTGGTGCATGGTCTACACTGCCACTTTACAGCGCTGAAACTTGGGCCTTGGCTACACTTGCGAGTTACAGCGCTGTAAAGCCGTCCCCAGGGCTGTAACTCACTCCCCGTCCACACTGGCAAGGCATTTGCAGCGCTGTATCTCCGTGGCTGCAGCGCTGCATGTACTCCACGTCCCCGAGAGGAATAGCGTGCATTGCGCTGCCGCTGCAGCGCTGCGGCGCCAGTGTGGCAGCCCAATGCGCTGTGACTGGCCTTCAGAAGTAGTATCGGCAGTATCCCAGTTCGGCAGTATCCCACAATGCCTGTTCTAGCCACTCTGGTCATCAGTTCAAACTCTACTGCCCTGGCCTCAGGTAACCAACCATGTGACCCGCCCTTTACATTCCCCGGGAATTTAAAAAATCCCCTTCCTGTTTGCTCAGCCCAGTGTGGTGTGGAGTGCTATCAGCGAATCTTTCCAGGTGACCATGCCTCCATGCGCCAAGCGAGCCCCAGCATGGAGCAATGGCGAGTTGCTGGACCTCATCAGTGTTTGGGGGGAGAAAGCTGTACAGTCCCAGCTGCGCTCCAGCTGTAGGAATTACGATACTTTCGGGAAGGTATCAAAGGACATGATGGAAAGGAGCCATGACTGGGATGCCCTGCAGTGCAGGATTAAAGTGAAGGAGCTGTGGAGTGCCTACTGCAAAGCCCGCGACGCAAACGGCCGCTCGGGTGCTCCCCCCGGCGACCTGCCGATTCTACAAAGAGCTGGATGCAATACTTGGGGTTAACCCCACCTCCACTCCGAGCACCACCATGGACACTTCAGAGCTGGGGGTGGGGGGGAGGGGGAAGGAGAAGGAGGAAAACGGAAGTGAAGGTGGTGGGCCGGATGGAGACACCCCGGAATCCCTGGAGCCATGCAGCCAGGAGCTCTTCTCGAGCCAGGAGGAAGGTAGCCAGTTGCAGCGGCCGGTACTTGGTGGAGGACAAACAGAAGAGCAGGTTCCCGGTAAGCGGTTTTTATTTCGGGAAGGAATTTTTTCGGTGCGGGCTCTTTGGGAGAGGAGGGTTAGGCATGCATGCCTACATGCGGAATAGTGCATTGATGTGGTTTATCACATCGCGGTAATCGGCCTCGGTAATCTCTTTGAATGTCTCATCCAGAACGTGTGCAATGCGCTTGCGCAGGTTTATCGGGAGAGCCACCGTGGTCCTTGTCCCAGCCAGGCTAACGTGTCCGCGCCACTGTGCCGCGAGGGGACCATTGCTGCACACAGGCAAGCTGCATATGGGCCAGGGTGGAAGCCGCATTGCAGTAGAAGACCCTCCCTTGCTTCCCAGGTCACCCTCAGCAGCGAGATATCGTCCAGGACGAACTCCTATGGAAAATGTTGGGACAGTGTTCAGTGTAGGTGCCCCCTGCAGCTGTTGGCTTTCCCCAAGGCACAGAAACCCAGAGGACAGAGCAGCCCTGAAACAATCAGTCTCCCTTACTCACCATTTTGAGGCTCCCGTGGGATGTGTGTGCTCTGTTTCGGATGGGAAAATTATGCTATTGTGTAGACCCTGTGTGTTTTCTACTCCTTAAGTGCGGGGGGGAATCATTACTCTGTCTGGTATAAACAATGCTGCCTCTGTTAAAATGTTGCATTTTGCCTATACAGCAGCATCAACCTTGAGACCTCAGCCGTCCCTCTTATGGCCTGCTCAGAGACTGTAAAGACTCAGGAAGAGACCGCAAAAAAGCAAAGACGACATGCTGCAAGAAGTGATGCGGCAATCTATTAAAGAGAATGAGAAAGCACAGAACTGGAGGGAGAGAGAAAACAGGATCTGCCAGGAAAACGCAGTGCACCGGCGGCAAAGCACGGATCGGCTCAAACATCCTGGAGCGCCAAGCAGACGCTATCCAGGAGCTCGTAGCCATGCAGAAGGACCAGTACCGCAAACGCCACCCCCCCTACAGCCCTTGTCCCAAAACTCTTTCCGTTGTGCCCCACTGTCACCTCCAACCCACTTTCCCCAACTTCCGTGTTCTTCACGCCACCAGCTGCCTCCAACACCAGTATCTTCACCACCCAGCCCTGAAAACCACGACCCTTACCCTCTGCACTCAACCCCCATCACCATGCAGTATAACTATCCTGAAATGCAGCACTCACTGCACAGCACACCAGACAGGACATACGCGAATCTGTGATTGTACCGTTCCCCACTCCACCCCCTTGTTTCTTTTCAATAAATGGATTTTTTGGCTTTGAAAACATTCTTTATTATTGCATAAAGTAAAAGACTCCTTAGCCCAGGAAATAAACAGGCACTGCAAGTCTGCTTGTCTGCTTAGCAAACACTGATTCCTAAAGATTGGAACTACTGCACTTCACTCCCGTGCAGGGCACCAGATAACACTGCTGGTTTTCAGCCTCAAGTTGCTCCCTCAAGGCATCCCTAATCCTTGCAGCTTTGGGCTGGGCCCCTGTAATAGCCCTGCTCTCTGGCTGTGCAAATTCAGCCTCCAGGTGTTAAACCTCGGAGGTCCATGCCTGAGTGAAGCTTTCACCCTTCCCTTCACAAATATTATGGAGGGCACAGCATGCGGATATAACCGCGGGGATGCTGTTTTCAGCCAACTCCAGCTTCCCATACAGAGATCGCCAGCAGCCCTTTAAACGGCCAAAGGCACACTCCACAGTCATTCGGCACCGGCTCAGCCTGTAGTTGAACCGTTCCTTGCTGCTGTCAAGGCTCCCTGTGTAGGGTTTCATGAACCATGGCATTAACAGGTAAGCGGGGTCTACAAGGATCACA